GAGATAAACCCATCAAGTGTAATAGGATAAAGGATACAGCTCTCGCTGTAGACCAATCCCTGAGGGATGCGCCATGCATTCGTCTTCAATTTTTGACTTTGTTTGATATGACTGAATGCATATCTGGTCTATATTGGCTCACGATGACCTTTCGCTGTATCGAGCCAGTGCTGCTTATCCTCCCAGACAAGTCTGAGACCTGTCTTTTTACCAATTTACCGACCCCGCACGGATGGATGGTTTGATTAGCCATGAGCGCGAGAGCGAACCATTAACCTCGAGTGCGACGCAGAGCACCCTAACCACTGCGCCACATGCGCTATGCCATTATGAAGTGCAAATCTATAAAATTGCAGCTTTAATTTCCTAGGCCATTCTAGATTAATATACATCCAGATCTGGTTCAATTCGCTCAGGCAAGTGAGTGAATCTGATTCTAAAAAACAGACGACGAGATGGATTTCAAACAACCACTCAATGATTGGAAGGTGGTGCAGGTAAAAGGTTATACGAATTGTGATCAGTTTCCGAATTTAACACTTTTCGTATTGCAACTGACCAAAAAATTCAAAAATGAAACATCAGATTTATAGACTTTACAAAGTCTTGATAAAAGATTTGAGAAATCTCCAAACGTTTAGCATTGTACCTAGGAGCAATCGAGTACGCAACACTATGTGTTGGGTAAAGGTTTCACTTGACATGGAGTGTAAAGCGTTCGTTTCCGATGACTCTCTATAAGGAGTGTGAGGCTCCCGAGAGAACTGACTATGAAGAAATCGAAAGACGACGGGTTCTGCCCAGCTGACGAGTCTGTAAGGACGAAACACGTGTATCGGGGTGTACATGAGCCCTTACCAGACCACATGATAAGTTGGCTCAAATAATAATGAAAGGATTTAGTATTGTATTATTTATCACGAAATGCCAAAGATTGAAAAATTTATCATACCAGATGAGTCTGATGGTTGCAAAAATTTCAGAAAAAATGGTCTGATGTGTTGAACAGGTGGTCGGTAGGTACGAAAGTCAGCACTTAGGTGCTCCACCAACAAAGATCTGTTAAAAAGGAAAAATGAGGCAGTTATGACTGGTGTCTCCTATTTCCTACGTAAACTTTAGTAAAATTCGAATAGATTATGTGACTGGTTTGATTGACGAGCTGGTCCGCGTTCTCTCAAATTATGAAATCCGCCTGAGTGGTTCACAAATTTTGGTCTGATATGTTAGACAGACAAACCTCTGTATAGCTCCTGAGTAGATGTAAAGGTCAACAATCGGGTGCTTCACCAGCAAAGATTTTTTGTTGAAGAAAAAAGCGAGGTAGCTATGACTGGTCTCCTTTTTTCAACGCAAGCTTCCAGCATAATTCTTATGCTTATATGGCTGAAATAATTGACGAGCTGGACTGCGCTCTCCCAAGTCAGAGAACCCACTGAGTAGTTTACTGACAGGCCCACAGTATATTCGTCACAACAGTCTGTTTTTGATGAATGCGCAGAAGTTATGAACAATCAATAAACAGTCAACTCGAAATTTGCAGTCAGTAAATTATATGCGTTAAAAGTTAAAAACAAATAATCAACTACCATTCAATTAATGATATCTCGGAAATAATCAATATTAATGGATCAAAAGTCATAATCAGTTGATTAATCGGAGCGTTGATGCCCGGCGACGTATCTGTCTTCAGTCGACGTATTTGGATCACTTTTGATTCTTTTATTTTTCGAGTTGCTATGAGATATAAGAACTGACTAATGTATTGACAATTGTAATGTGCTCTCCGACAAAGGCAATGAAGTTTGGCAATCAAATTATGCACTTAGGGCACTCTATTTGAAGTTTTTGAATGTGGAGGATGTTAGGATCTTTACTTAGATGTTACTGTGCTATAACGGCTATGGTTATAGATGTCATTGAATTCACGCATCATTGGCTCCACTACACCTCAAGCCAACGCGCTCATTTTGGAGCTCTACTGCATTACGGGTGTTGTTTGTTCATAGTAAGCATGTGGGAACATCTAATAGAGCAATACACAGATATTAAGGGTAGTCAAATAAACCAGTGTTCAATGGAATTCATAAGAAAAGAAATTAGTCAATCAAAGTCAAACGCAAACCCGGTTCCGGCGAACTTCGTGGGAACTGAATAAGATACGAAAATCGAATAAGACAAGTGCTTCTAAGGCTACCACACTAAGTGAAGTCGGGTGGCTCAAGCAAGTAACTAGAAATCAAATACTTGCAAATGATTTCATGGTTTTAATACTGATTTGCTATGTTTTGCTGTCAAAGATGGCAAGTAAAGATGCGGACCGTTTGAAAGATAGCAGATAATACTTTACGCCTTTATCTCCTCATTCTAGTGGGATGAGCTCAGTAATCGGTCATCGCTACCTTACTTATTTTAACGTTATTTGGTTCAAATTTGAAATCGAAGTGGAAAGATTGTGGCAGTAGAGCAAAAATGGGCCAATCGTAATGGCATAGACATATGTCTGAATCCAAAGGGGGCGTGTTGGTCTCACTCGTCTTCAATCATGAGTTGAATCTTTGTGCATCGCGACGTTGAAGATGAAACATCGACATAATATTTAACAATATAATATATAATACAACACTCAGTGATTCTGATTTAGAGTCCCTCAAAAAGGTCTATAAACGGAAACTTAAAAATAGCAAGTGTCTTTCCTTTTCCAAAGGTTCCAAGGGTACCTTTTTGAAGCAGTTCTTACAGAATGAAAAGAGTTTGTGTAGCTGCACTAACTGCGGTAGAGGTCCAATACATATAAGTTCCTACTTGATTTAAGGGTATAAGTGAACCACAGCCATTTATAGGTGGAGAGTACTTTCGTCACAGTGCGTAACACATGTGACTAATTAAACCCAATTTCACGCGTCGTACCTAGAATTCATTTTTCCGATTTACAGTCTAACTTGTGCTCTTTTCCACTGCATCTCTTTCTAATGAAGAACTAAATTTGTTAAAAAATAATAGGACACAAATTCAAGCTGCAAACATCAATTGGGCTTATAACTCATGATTTCCTCTCTAGGGGCCTACATGCAATTCACGGTAGCGATCGCGGTCATTGCTTTGCTCTTTTTCAGCCATGTTTTGAATCTGTCGTTACTATTAGCAGTCAGTCGATTGTGTTTTTGCAGTAGTCTCAGTGTAACTGGATTCAATACCGATTTGTACCCCTTGCTGATAGCCCGAATACGATTTAGAAATGGCAGAGTATTAAGCAAAACAAGATTGTCGGCTATTTATTGGATGAAATGTGAGCACCAGTAAGGGTTCATCGTGAGTTCGAAGCGCACTTAAGATTCCGCGTTTTTGATTGTATCTTAGCATTCTTATTACTCTAATTCATATAACAATTTACTTGGGTTGCTGATTGCTTGAACGATCCGTCTTCACAGATTGTGCAGTCCTTTGGACATTTTTCATTCGTTTCTTCTTCTCGCGATTGTCATCTATGACAGTGGTTTGATTCGAGCATAACCGCTGGAGCAAGTTCCATACCTGCAAAACATCGGCAGCTGAGAGCACAGCTAACTAAACTTCCTACGGACACGTTCGTCCAACTTATAGGTGACCGTTCTCGGAGTCGAGTGTATTCTTTTGGAACGCGCTCCACTGTTCTTTTCTCCCATCTGTTCTTTTTATTATATGACAGGCTCATCTGTGTTTCGCTATCGATGTATCTATTTCTGGGTCATGAAAATGAGACGGTTTTCGAAGATCGGAGCTACACAGACCAGCTAGACGTTGCGAGTGACAGTTAACTTTTAGAAGACTTCGCTCAGGAGCCCTTTGAGTGCTACTCAGACTTCTCGGCGTGGTATTCTCAGCCCATGTCTTTGCTACATAACAGAGCGCTAGAAGAACTGTTGAATTGAAAAGTTTAGCACGTAGTTTTGGGTTCGTTAGTTGGTCGATGGGTACTTGAGAGGCCCGAGTGCGGCCCATGCTACTCTTCTTTTTCTGTCGGGTTCCTCCTTAATGTTGTTCTCCATGTTCAATGAACGCCCAAGATACACGTACCAGGTGGTCTCCGTAATCGGAGAACCATTCAGTTTGAGTTGTCCATCATTGCACCAGTGGTTTTTCATGAACTGGGCCTTCATGCAATTCCCGAGTAGTACGATCTTGTTCTCCTCTTTCTTGAGTTTCTTGGGAATCGTCTCTGCTTCATTAGTGCTTTTCGAAAATAAGACGCAACACATGGCAACCTACCATAAAAAACATAAGGGAGTACGATGTAATTTAGAATCAACGTTTGACGTCATTTAATTAATGCTTTGACTTGGGACGATGTATATTCAGTCTTATTTGCCTCTTTGTACTCTAATCATTGCCCACATTGTTTCAGAACAACTAGTTAAGGATTTCGAAGAACTATATGAGATCTTCCGTGCTCTTCCCTGCCCTCAATGTTGGTGAACTGACGTCAAAGTTACCAAATTGTTTCATTACGATACCTGAATCGCTGGGAATTTCTCGGCCACTTTTGGATTGTCGCAGAGCTACTCTATCAATAAAGAATTCGCACACGTGTATAAAATGAACGGCGTCGTTAGCAGCGGTGTTAGTCGTTTTTCATTCTTTTCATGAGCACTGCCATGGACAACGAATTGTTATGTCACAGATAATCTAGTACTGTATAACTAACTTTACAGAGAAGTTTCTAAGAATCGAATTTTTTTTCCTGACTTACTGAATGAAATACACTGAATTGTTGACATTTATTTTACACCGCAGTCATATGTCAACAGCATTGAAAAAACAAGCAAATCTAAAATTGGCTGCCAGAGCGAATAGAATCGTTTAACTAAACATCATTGCAGGAGCGAAACCATGCTGGTATGGTGGGCTCACTTCCATAGCCGGCTCATTATACACTTTTCGGAAATTTTTTTATTCGACCCTATTGCGGTGTTATAATGTTTCAATAAACCCAATGATGTAGAGTGGTGTGCAAAAACGTTTGCGTTAGCCGGAATTCGAACCCAGATCTTACTCTTTTCGGTAGCACGTTCTAAACCGTTGAACCAGCGACGCTCGTTTTGCACTCCACTCTTTCTACGCTACAACGCGTTATCTGTCAACAGCCAACCGTCCACGGTGTGGCGGGGCAGTTATTATCGCCATTGAACTCACTTTTGTTGACAGATATTGAGTTTCAGGCGGTCAAATAGAATGATTTCCGATTGATTATTGAAACCCAATATCTGTCAACAAAAGAGGGTTCAATGTCGATAATGACTGCCGCGCCACACCGTAGACGGTTGGGTTTTGACAATAAAGCGTTGTAACGTAGAATGAGTGGAATACAAAACGAGCGTCGGTGGTGCAACGGTCTATCACATGCTCCCAGAAAAAGTAAGATCTGGGTTCAAATCCCGGCTGACGCAAACGTTTTTGCACACCACTCTACATCAATGGGTTTATAAACTTTTCGATTTGCACGAAAAAAGAGTAGAAATGACCTCTCATTGCTACCATCGAATTGATTGATTTCAACCAGCAACAAAAACTTTTATGCTGAAACTTTTGATATATAAGAGAACTCAATCCGAAAAACCATTTTACACTTCAGGATTTGAGCAAACATCACTTTAGAGGATGGCCAAATACTCAAACTTCCTCTTTTACTCTCTTCCTGTTATCTTCCCATTTTCTTCCATTCTAGTGTTGCAATTGGTCCTGTCATCCCAAATAAATTGAAGCTTCCAAATTGAGCGTTTAATGAAAAGTGCTTAAGCTTCTATTGGAAGGCAAATAAAACGTAAATTGAGGTTTTCGGCTGCTTCATTGTTGACTGACGCTGTCATGGACGAGAAATTGTTCGATGTTCACATTTTTTCCACAACGTGGCAATTATGTGCAGTTAGAGCGCTTTGTGCTCTGAGTTGTTTTTCTCTTTGTCGATTTGCGCTAAATTATCTGTCACCACGAACGGACTGCTCTATTCAAGGAATTATGCAGCCGAGCAGTGGAACAGAAGGCCTTGCTAGCAATGAATTCAAAATAAAAGTGCGCCTTTGGCAATCATTCATTTGTTTGATATTTTCCCTGATTTCGTCTACAAAATCAAAGAAAATTTACTTTGTGTTTATTCTTTTAATGTTACGTGCTTCTTCTTTATAAGATAAAGTTTGCTGATAAGATGAATCATACGTTTAGATTCGACTGCTTTTATGGGCCTCGCTTAAAACAATATTCAATCTGATGGAATATTTTGGCCTCTCATGACGTCTGTAATGGCACTTATACAGCGCTAGACATGTTGTTCAGCATTGCAACCTCATCAGTAGAATGATGCCATCAGTTCAGCCAATTCTTTTCGGGGGTTATACCTCCTACATATAAGGGACTCAACGCCGAGTTATTTACAATATCACATCAAGTCAGGTGACTTAGGCCATAATTTTGTAGATAATTCGGCGTCGAGGAGGTATAAACTCCGCAAGGGATTGACTGAACCCAAAGATACCGCGCCACTGATGAGGCTACTATGCCGAGAAACATGTCTAGCACTGTATAGGTGCCCACAAGTGACCTCATGAAAGGCTCAACATATGTAATCGGATTAGGTAAAATTGGCTTTTCGTTGAGATCAATATAGTTCAAAGCACGTTCGCCAAAATCCGGGACTGATTTTAACTTGAATAAAATTCAGGAGCTGCGTTCCAGAATTCCAGTAAGAGATAGTGGAATTGCAGGACAATATGACGCCTTAAGTAAGAAAAAAAATGCCAAACACAAGCTGAATTTGAATGCAAGCTTGTATGAGGTTCCAACTGATTTTATTTTATGTTTATCCTAGCATTTGTTCCAATTAGTAATATAATTAGCATATTACATCAAGATTAGTACTAGAATCGCTGCGTCATGTCAGTATGCACATCAAAATGTTATATGAATATATCAATATATCAATAATAATGGTCCTATATTACTATCATTATTAATAGAAATCACTATATATTACATATATATTAGTGCTATCTGTTCCTTAGTACTAAAATTTATAATAATGATTATTTTTGCAATTAGCTTCGCTACGGTGATGTTTTGAGTGTCTTGGGAAAAGGGGTAATCAGAAGCGAACTATGATTCTAGTTAAAAATACATTGAGCACATCGCAAACTAAAGTTTATTCGAAGAAATCAAAACCTAGAAATAAAAAAATATGTGAAGTAGGAAGTGAAAACGTATTGAAAATTGATAGTGACACATAGCGCAAGCAAAAATCGCTTTCGCGGTGTAGTTATGGCGCAGGGGGCAAGTGTGGCCGTTGAAGTCAGTGCGTATCCTGGTTCGAGTACTTACCCAAATGATTACGGTTATTTGCTACTCTTGACGTCCTGTGATGATAAATACACCACAAAAGGATGATGGGTTCATTTTGTACGATAAATGCAATTTGTTTCAGTGACAGATGCTGAGACTTCTTAGAACTCGTTTTATATATGAACTATTAAAGTAGTTTTGTAAATATCCCGTTTTATCTGAAGACAACTTGTGCTAAACCCCTCGGCAAAACATCCAGCACTATCTTCGACTGTCAAACCAAATCAAGATTGGTGCACAAAATTATTTAGATGAAGTTCCCATATCTGCGACTTTTTCAGAGCCGGATCCTTTCGAACCTATAGTCTACAGGTGTCGGGTCTGCACCATATCCGTGTTCGTTGGCAACTCAGATCAAATCTGCTCTAAACAAAACGAGGGTAACAAAACGTTATACGAATAAATTTCTTCTACCAGCCCCGCATTGGTTTAATGATTGGAATAGGTATCGTTTTACTTTGGTCTAGCAGAGTTATATAAACCAAGAATTACAATTGTGTTTACTTTACAATCAAAGGTTTGAACGGACCAACTAGGGGTGTTTTATCATGACAATGGTCTTAGTCTCACACTTTTGCGCACGCTTTCCTCAAGAAATACTGCTAGCAATATCCTATGTCTACTAGATCATTTGCCGCTAAAAAATTCCTCTTCAACTATTTTCTCTTGACAATGTAGAGTTTTGATTTCCACAGACCTGACATCCACTGACTTCTATGTTTTTCCTATAAACTCGCTGACGCTGTGAATTAAGTCTGCGACTCAAAGATATAAGCAGCTGACAGTTAGAGTATTCCGTTTCTTAGGGATAATTACTCTCACTCGAAAGTGAAATCAGCGAAAAGGAGTCAACTATGTTTGGGTTGAAACAGCGCTATCCTGACACATAAGTGCTTCCAAAGTGCTCAAACCCATCTCAACATGCTAGCACTCCAAAATGAGTATCAGCAAATGTCATATTTCTTGAAGTGCTGTCGATTAGAGGAGACGAGAAAAAGAGGAAGTAGCATTACACTGTTATGCAACAGTTTATGTTAGCCCTACATTAGATCTTCTTTTTACAACATGGCTCGATAGTGATAAATTTTTGTTTGAGCAGAAGGGGATATATTGAATTCACAGTTATTTTTTTCCAATCTACTGAATTGCAAAGAACTCATTTGCTTTTTACTTGAGATTTGTCAGATGACCTAAATTGTGGCTGAGGAAACCATCTAATTGAAAAAGCAATAGTGAAGCCAAGCACACCGACGAGAAGCGTAATAAGTGGAATACTGGTGGACAACTCAGATTTGACAAATGATAATGGGTGAGAACGATCCGTTACTCATTAGTCCTGCACAAAATTTCGTCGCTGTACTGTGAACGGATTTGGTTCGTACAGTAGTTAAAACCGGCTAGTGAAAGAGAATTATTTTCTATGCACAAGCTGTTCTGAACTAAGCGAAGCTACGAAAGTGATCGGGCTACAAGGATTCGAGTACTTGATTGACCAGGCTTTCGATGTCCTCACCATGTATGGTTCAAGTTCAATAGGAAGGCGGGTGACTAATTGGTATACGAGACTCTGACAAGTCTTATAAAAGCAATCGTACGATGGCTGCCCAGGAAAATAGTCCCAGGTTTGCGTACAAAAACACCACATTTCAAGTTTTGCTCTAACTTAGCACGCTCGTAGGTATACTAACGCATCACTTAGGCACTTTATTTGATCCGTCTTCATTGTTTTTCTTTTCACTATGCGGATCCCAGTATTGCTAACATTCATTTAGTATTTTGTCTTCTTCTTGTCGCAGAGTAGTGGTAGAGCGAGTCTCCTTGCAATCTTAAGGATAGCCTCGTTGTGGCGTTCTATGAGGCGTTGTTGTTGGCTGCTGGAGAGAAATGGGGAAGGGCTCGGGCCCTGCGCGTACCGCGACAGGCATCACAACCATTCGACCATGGCGCCCCCGGCCCCTTCCGCCCGCCCCTTCATAAGGAAAGAGCGATTATATGTCGCGTTATACATAAATACTATCGCATCAAGCTGTTAAAAATAAAGTAGGTATAAAAGTTAATTGTCAATTACACATTTCGGAGTGATGAAGAGGTGGCTGAGTGGTGAGTAACGTGGTATATCAGACAGTAACTTGCTGGCTAGTCCTAATCCTTTCCTTAATGCCGCAGTCACGTGGGAATGCCTCAGCCTGGCTATCCTCGAGATTGCGAGGGAACCTATATGACCAGTATTCACATCTTTCCTAGAGAGAAAATTTCCAGGCAATAGCCGGAGCAAGACATGAAATGGTCAAAAACCCTTCAGAAAACGATTGCGTAAAAACGAGTCGAATGATAAAATCACTCAAACGTACGATAAGTGTGATGACTATTCAAATAAAGAAAAACAAATATATCCCCATTCAACCGTTTTTTATAGACCCTGCTCAAGGAATAGTCTTATAAGGATATATCATATTTTGAGCCATTAAGGTCTAAGTGCTATGCAGGCACCTGTTTCGTCCTATGAGAGCTTATCAGTAGCATCGTACTCGGTTCAGCTAATCACTCAAGGTTAAACTCTTTCAGTGAAAGAAATGCCGCCGAGCAATAAGTGACTGCAAGTCAGATGATAAAATACCTGACATTGTAGTGACCTGGCGCCTGTATAGCACTTAGGCCTAAATGGCTCAGAAAATGATATATTCTCATCAGATTACTCTTTGACC